GGGATAAAAATAGATAGAGGATGAGTCAGACAGAGAGAGAGGGAGGGTAGACAAAGAGTAACCACAAAATAGAAATGACACATATATAATATATACATATATACATATATATGTATATATTTGTCTATACAAGAACCGCAATTAAAATCATCAACAAATTCATTTGATTTCTATTTTTAGATAATCAAAGCTGGAATTAAATTAAATTTTAAATAATTGCTGCAATTAGGATGAGCTGTAAGCAGTGATGCCAATTCAGCCCATTTCAGGCTAAATCTGGTCTAGCCTATTGATAATTAATCCACTCAAAATGAGTATTCAAATAGAGGAAGACTATGCCTCTATGTCTCTCTACTATGTCTCGCTGCCTGTCTACCTAACTACAGAAGATCATCTATGTCTATATGTATGCAGCAGTATTCATTTGGTATTTATATTTAAGTTAAACGAAGCTAGAGTGCTTGTACCAGAAGAGAGAGTTCCCATTGGCTCAACATTTGAGAGCGATTTAGTGGTTGAGTGAAAGTCGACCTATATAAAGGGCAGCAGCTGCAGCATTTCTTCAGTCGTTCAGACCTGGTGGGGGTCAGTTGTGCAGTGCAGTAAAGTGAAGTGAAGTGAAGTGTGGTGTGGTCAGGAAATGTCACTTAGAAGAAATGCCTCGAAGAAATACCTCAGAGCAATACCTCGAAGAAATACTTAAAGGAAACAGACTTAAAAGAGAAATTTTTAAGACTTAGAGAAGAGTCTTAGAGGAAATACTTAAAGCATATACTTCAAGGAAAGACTTAGAATTATTATATTTGATATTTTATTTTATTATTCAAAGTCTCTGCAAATAATTAATTACTCTTCGTATGTTTTCATCCATTTTTAATCTATCCATTTTTCATTTTAACCAGTTTCAGCTTTGTTTTATCCACAAACCAACTTATTTCGGACTTCAGCTGACAGCACTGTAAGTATATAAATATTATATATAAATACAATACGTATGTATTGAATAGTAGTTGCCAATTTGAGTGACTTGCAGGCCTGTCAGGCCTTATCTGGTTGGGCAACGTAACGTATACGCAACATGCCTAATTGTTGGCCGGCTGAAAACTTTCGACACAACATTCATTTGTACACATTTAGCTGCAGGCTAACAAGATGGGGCTGGGGTACGACATCAATAATAAATGGCATTTGGCAAAAGTTGTAAACCTTTTTCGGCACTTATCTGTCACACGTCACACAGCGCCAACATCATTTGTCAGAGCCACAGCAGACCAAGAGGTGGGCCGGGCAGGAGATGTCCTGGCCATAGTCAGGCACTGGGCACAATATCCTCTTGTCACGCTCAATTGTTAAAAATGACAACTAATTAATTTCTGTCCGGCTGAGCTGACCAACTCTCAGCAGTATATATATATGTGTGTGTGTGTGTGTGTGGGCCACTTGGCTTTTGGTTAAAAAAGGGTTGCGATGTACAGAATGTTTTTATGAAAATCTGATAATGCCTAGATAGACATAGACATGGCAATACTCGAAAGCAGTTTGAAAGCTGTTCACAAATGACTTCATTAGAGGCCATGCCCAGCATAAAAAAAGGGGCTGTGTGTGTGTGTGTGCGTATGTAAACATGGCCCGCAACCAGGTCGCTGGCACTTAGCGCAGATAAGCAGCTCAGCTTTGCCTGCAATGAGGCTTCTGCAAGTGGCTACTAGCTAACCAGCTGGGGATTAAGCCAAGAGCGAGATGGAGCTAGTGCAAGTCAAGGAGATAGAGTGAGAGAGTATGAACGGGAGAGAGAGCAGAACAGCTTGCCTTGCTTTGCTTTGCTTCACAAATGCCATCATTAACTGAAGCTGCCTGCTGGCGTTAGCATTGTTTGACTTCGGCTTTCGCTGCGCTAATGATTTGACTGTGTCGCAATCGCAGACACACACACACACACACACACCCAGAGATGCATACAGATGCCCCTTTTTCTGCTCTGCCTCGACTGCAACTTCTCCCTGTGGTCAGCTTAATGACTCGCCACACAGCAGAACACAGAACAAAAAAACTTTACTAACTGCATTTAGGTGCATTAAGCGCCACAGCCAAATAAAACACATGTTCCGAACTGTTGACTACTTGGACTTTGCTCATTGCCACGCCCTCCGTGCCCACTTCTAATGCCGCAATTTGTTGCCAAGCTGGGTTTATTACAGAGCTGCGGCTGGCGCACAGCGGGCGACGCGCAGCTTCAACTGTTGCCCTGGTTACTTATGCAAGACATACTTATAGAGATCTACATATATACATATACATCTATTTATGTACATGTACTTATATATATATTAACTCCTACATAGTTGGCACTTGGCTACTCCCAAAAACTTTGAGACAAGTTTCCGTTTCTGCTATATACATTTTTTTTATATTTTTTTTTTATTTGCGCCTCGTTTTGTTTGCTGGCGACTCTGCAGTTGGTGACATTTTCGGCAGCCAAAAACTTTTGAACTTGGCGCGTAATGAAGCAGCCCACGGGTTGGGGTGAGGGAGCTGGAGTAACGGAGGGGTTTGCAGCAAAGTGCTCGTTTGGCTTTTGAGTGGAGTTCATTACGAATGCCGCCACGCTGCGTCGCGTGTTGACTTATGCATAATTACTGTTTTCTATAGCCAAGGCAGCCGCTGGCCAGGAGCAGGAGCAGGGGTAGGATGAGGAGAAAGTGCAGAAGCAAGGCTGAGCTCAGGGGCAGAGGCAGGGGCAAGCAGGCCTGGAGTAAGGCCAAAGCAAGCTATAAGACTTGGGCAGAGGCAGAGGCAGGGGCTGGCACAGGGACAAAGTCATGGCTAAGGCTGGCGGGCAGAGCTCGAAGCAGCAGCAGCAGCGGCAGCCTAGCCAAGGCAGATTGTCTGCCAGCGCAAATTTTCTTTTTGCAGCTGCCAGCCAACTAAGCAGCAGCAACAGCAACAGCAGCAGCAGCGGCAGCAGGAGCAGAGGCAGCAAATGTTTGGTGCAGCGTTTCATATGCTCATTTGGTGTGCATGACGCACTGACCTGTTTCAAATGCAACAAAAAGGAAAACGTTTTAAAGCAGAAGTGCAAGAAGAAGAAAATGAGCTAACAAGAAAAAAGGCACTTGGTGCACTCAACTGGATTCTTAGACTGCATGGACGGCCGGACGAGCAGCAAGTGAACTGATGCTGCTGCTGCTGCTGCTACTGCTTATGTAGCATACTTTTTAGCGCCCACTGTCATAAGACTCGGCGGTAGCTGTCGGGTGTGCAAAGTTTTGACCAAAAATATTTATGTGCTTAAGCAGCGTCTAATAAACTCGGCTTGTGTCTTTAATTAAATATATGGTGGCATAACTATGTTAATTTAAGCTTATTACATGCTAAAATAAAATAAGAAAACATTGACTTACTTTCAATATTGCATAACTATATAGAAGTTATATGGTTACCTATATAATCTATATCAGATATAGCATATACATAGCATATATATCTATACATAATTATTATCTAAATGGCTAAGTATCATCGAGCTGTGTAAACAAAATTTATAATTCCTTTATAAGTTTTTTTTTTTTTTAGTAAAAATCTATAGATTTCTGATCAAGTCTCCCTATATTGTATATAATTCTTATTATATATGACTTACACAGTTTAAACTAAAATCAACTCAACTCAGAAATAATCGTTCTGACTTACTTTTCACATTTCCAAAAAAAAAAAAAAAAAAAAAAAAAAAAAAAAAAAAAAAAAAAATCAAGATTTTGTCCAGAAATAGATCTACGATTGACTAAGGTAGTTTGTTAGTTAAAAATATATAGATAAACTAGTATAAAGTGTGTACATATATAAATGTCGCAAGTTTTGAGCAGCTCATCTGATAGTCGTGCTATGCCCAAGCAACGAAATCCTTGACCAGAGAGCGGGTTGAGTGGGTGGCTGAGTTGGGTGTGCTTGGAGTGTCTGGGTGGTCAGTTTGCTGACGTTTGGGATAAAGTCAAGCGGATAAACAAGAGATTAAAATGTCATAAACAATGCCTTTTGAGCATCCAGCTAAAACAACTTAATGAAAGCTGCAGGTCACACAGGGGCAGAGCAGGAGCCAGGCCAGAGACGGAGCAGGAGCCGAAGCCGAAGGCAAGCGTAAAGTGTTACATAAAACTATTTTTGAGACTTGAAAGTTTTTGCAAACAATCAACACGAATACACAAACACACACTGAGACACACACACACATACACATATATATATAACCATCTATCTTTAATCCTTATGTGAAGTGTGGAGGCAGCCACAGCACCAGCACCAGCAGCAGCACCAACAGCTGCAACAAAATGTGGCAGGAGGCGCAGTCAATAAATTTTCATAAAACTTTTGATTTGTATTTATGAGTTTTTTGGTGCGCTGGCAACTGTGGGAATTCAATTAAGTCGATACGATTTGTTCTTCTTGTTTTGTTGTTGTTGTTTTTTTTTATGTATTTATTTATATTTTTGTTGGTATGTTTGTAAAACAATTGAAAAACTTTATTGTGGGCGGGTTCGGGCATACATTAATGATTTATATTATCATACAAGCGCATACGATACAATAAATTTTCGCCTAATGACAAAATAAGGATCGGGCTTAGCTTAAACAAATTCCTGCACATACATTCACACATACGCACACACACACACGCATAACTCATACACACACACGCACACAAACATAACATAGTGTGCGTCCTTAAAAGTAATTTTTTGTGCATTTTTGTTAACATTTTCAACTTAAACAAAATACTGCATAAAAAGTTCAACAAATGCAGCAGCAAAAGTCGTCGCAAGCAAAACTATATATATCAAGAAATATATGATTAAATTTACGGCTGCAAAGTCAAGAAGCTGCACATGTGTGTTTGTTCTTCTTCTTGTTTGATGCTGAATGTGAAGTTTCTCAACTTTGTGGGCATAAATTTGTACATTGTATGATTTATAAATTGTAGCGCTAATTTCCTGCCTTTTTTTTTTTTGTTTTGTTTGTTATTTAAGTATTGATTATAGTAATTATGTGAAGGTAGGAATGAATATTGAATATATCGGATATCGGATATCGCTACTATATATTCACAAAAGGTAAACAAAGAGAATAAAATAAAACAAAGATGAAGCTAAGACGGTAATAGCTACTCTACTCGATCTACTCGGCGCTAGCATTGATCGTGATGGTCTTGCCCTTGGGATCATCGAAACGATCCATGGTCTTGATGTCCATCATCCAGCACATGCCCAGGAAGACGATCACCAGCAAAATGACAATGACGAACAGGCCCATCAAAATGCCGGGCGTTACGAAGCCCACACAATCCCAGGAATCGCCGAATGCGAAATCTGACGGCGTTTGATCACTGAATGGCGCTTGCAGCTGGAGCGAGGTCCAGGTCAGCGAATTAATCTGGTTTTCTTTATTGACGGGTGTATACCAGGTGGTATTGCCGCAGGTATACGAGAAGCTTGGCGGCGCGGTCACTCCAGGCGTACGGAATGTATCGGTGCCATAGGCTGCATTGCTCACCGTATAGTAGCCCTCCTCAGCGCCATAGGTAACGTCAAAGGTGATATCTTTTGAGGCATCGGTTGACAGGGCAACGGAGAACTTAATGCTGGTGGCGTTGGTGATTTTCATGTCGAGAACCTTCAGTGGGGTCGTGGTGCCAGCGGCCTGGTTATAGTACTCAACATTTACGAAGCTAATGGCAAACTGATTGCCACTGAAGAACCTATTGGTAACTGTCTCCGCCGACGTCCAACGACGGACGCGACGCTGGACAACGGGCGCCGTGGCGGGTGCAGCGAAATACAGATAGGCAACCTTGCACTTCAATTGCTGACTGATGGCAGCAATGGCAGCGTCTGTTTACAGGTAATATTCACGATAAGAATTAATCAATTGAATGGACAACTCTCATTGAGTGAAGCTCACCATGTGACTGGAGCGTTGCGGCACGTGTCTCTTCCACATTCTCAAAGGAAACAATCTGAGCGGTGCCTGCCTCGCATTTGACTGGATGCACCAGCTGGCCGTTGGCATCGACGCTGTTGTGTTCACGCTTCTGGGCAGCTACACGCAATGCCTCAGCCGGATTCTCGACGCTTGTGTAATAGGTCTTGGGGCTGACGCTCTGCAGCTGAGCATAGCAGGACTGGGCCTCGTTGGTGGAGCACAGGAAATCCTTGCTGCTTAACTGGAGAGAGGTAGACAGACACAAATATACTTATTGAAAATACACAAGCTAGTTTGCATTTGCACTTACGCCATTTTCCTCGAAGGCCACAACCATGTGATCTTTGAGCAAAGTCGTCAACTGCTCTTGAAATTCAGCCTGAGGCACAGTGCGCAGCGATGGCTTCGTTGCACTGTTATTGAATATAAATAAATGGTAAATAGTTACATGTATAAAGGTAATATTTGGAAAGCAGCCACCCACCTGTTGGCACCCCATAGAAAAACGGGCGTCTGCTCGGCCAAGGCGACTCCAATGACGCACAAAGCAATCACCGATTTCCACAGCATTTTTAGTTGCGTGGCTCGCTGTTTAATTAAATCAAATTAAAATGAAATGAAACTCGAATCAATAAACGAACATAATTAAACACAATTAAAAAATAAAACCAACCAAAAATGAACAAAAACTACAAACGAAAAATGAGCTAAAACTTTTTCGTTTTGCACGGCCCGATTCTCGATTTGCGCTGTCAAGAGTGAAAAAGTTTTCATATGACAGGTCATGTGATGGACAAGCAGCTGACCGATTGCGAATGCAATTAATCGATATTTCAGTCGATTTGGCATTGACAGTCACGGCGACGCAGTGGGAATGAAAATATGGCCACACCGCAAAGCGGCACTAATTAAAAATTACTATCGCTTTTATATTGTGAGTAGTGTAAATAATAAAAAGTAAATGATACACCATCTATTTAATAATGAACAAAAACAGTTATTGTGCAATATATAATTAGTTCATAATAAATTCGAATTTGAATTCAAATTTCAAATAGGTATAATATTGGTCGCAGTATTTATGCCTTTATCGCGATAGTTGCTATCGATAGCTCAGCCACTAGTGTGCCCTAATTAGACGCCCATCACTAATAAAAGGCCGACTTAAAATCAATTTCGTTTTATTGTTTTGAGTGAATTGTGTGCAGAACAAAGGGAATTTATTTACTCAACGTGCACGGAAAGTGTGTGGCAATGTAGTGCAAAATAGGTTATACGAAATGCGTCTGCGACGCCGGTGGCATCGGCGGATGCGGCGTACAATTGAGAAAATCTATCGGCTTAAGATGCAGTCGAGACGAAAACTGATTTTCCTAGCAATATTTGGAGCACTCTGCGTGCTGTTCTGGCTGGCAGGGCAGCAAATGTTCAATGCTTCAGATGGCCATTACAGTAGACATTATAGCGAAACTCATTGTGCGCCCATAGATGCCGTCTATACCTGGGTAAATGGATCCGATCCCGATTTTATAGAATTGGCTCGAAGATATGATGCCAACTACGATCCCTCGAGATTCGATGACAAAAATGAGCTGAAGTATTCGCTGCGTTCGCTGGAGAAGCACGCCAGCTGGATAAGACATGTGTACATTGTGACCAATGGCCAAATACCCAGCTGGCTGGACTTGAACTATGAAAAGGTCAGCGTGGTGCCTCACGAGCTGCTCGCTCCAGATCCCAAACAATTGCCCACATTCTCTAGTGCTGCCATTGAGACATTTATACACCGCATACCGAAGCTGTCCAAGAGATTTCTCTATCTCAACGATGATATCTTTTTGGGTGCTCCATTGTATCCGGAGGATTTGTATACACAGGCGGAGGGCGTGCGCGTCTATCAGGCCTGGATGGTGCCCGACTGTGCCTTGGATTGCCCCTGGACCTATATAGGCGACGGTGCGTGCGATCGTCATTGTAACATCGATGCCTGCCAATATGATGGCGGTGATTGCAGTGAGGGCGGCATTGGAGCAGCAGCGGCTGGTCAACTGCAGCATGAGCTGCACCAAGCAGCTGAAGCAGCTGCTCCTGTGGCCCACCCGCCTGTACATAAGTTTCCCAATATGGGCTTGCAGCAGCTGTTCAAGCGCAGCTCGACCAACTTTAAGGAGCTGATGAAGCATCGCAATGTCTCCACTCTGCTGGAGCTGCGTCGCATTGTGGAGCGCTTCAATAAAGATAAGCTGAAGTCCCTCAACCCAGAGTTCGATGTGAGCAGCACTAGCTCCAGCAACCTGCTGCACAAGGAGGACTTCAAGTCCTCCACAGACATCTACTCACATTCCCTGATAGCTACCAATATGCTGCTCAATCGCGTCTATGGCTTCAAGGCGCGCCATGTGCTTGCTCATGTGGGCTTCCTCATCGAGCGCGACATTGTCGAGGATATGCATCAGCGCTTCCAGCAACAGGTGCAGCAGACAGCTCAACAACGCTTCCGTGCGGCAACGGATTTGCAATTCGCGTTCGCTTATTATTCGTTCCTGATGAGCGAGACGAGAACGCTGAGTGTTGAGGAAATATTCGATGAGTTCGACACGGATGGCTCGGGCACCTGGTCGGATCGTGAGGTGCGCACATGCCTGACACGCATCTATCCACCACCGCTGGATTGGTCAGCGATGCGCTACTTTGAGGAAGTGGTGCAGAATTGCACGAGGAATGTGGAGCAGGATGTAAACAGCAATAAGATTGTGCACTCGACATTGGTCTATGAGCGCTACGAGGATTCCAATTTGGTAGAAGATGGCTACTTCAAATCCTATATCATAGTTAACTGATTTCTTCTTGCTTCTGCAGCCCACCATCACCCGCGAGTTGGTAAATCGCTGTCCATTGCTGGCCGAAGCGCTGACCGCCAACTTTGGCGTTCGCCCCAAATATCGCTTTCACGTCAGTCCGAAGCGCGCCTCGCACAGCAATTTTATGATGCTCACCTCGAATCTGACGGAGGTCGTGGAGGCGCTTGATCGCATGCGTCGTAATCCACGTAAATTCAATTGCATCAACGATAATCTGGACTTTAAACGTGGCGAGGACAATGAGCTGGTGCGTCATCTTCTCGAGGATTTCTATTTGTCCTTCTTTCCGCGTCGCAGCAAATTCGAACTACCGCCACAATTCCGTAACCGTTACGTCTCCTGGACGGATTATCAACGTTGGCGTCGACGCAAACGCGCCGTCCTCGTGGTTGGCTATGGAGTTAGCCTGCTTCTGGTCATTTTTCTACTACGTTTGCTCTGCCAGCACAAGGCGAAGATCGTGCGCCGTTGTGTGCAGCGACTGTAGAGGATATAAATGCCTATATATGTATATGTATTTACTGATATTAATATCAGCCTTAAGGTTGTGTTCGTTTTGCTTAACATTTCACTTAATTTCGTATTGTGATAAGTTTTAATTGAGATTATCGCCATTTCCATTCTAGTTATATAGAACATAGAGCTCTGACTGTATCTAATTTAAGCGCAATCATGAGGCTAATTTTAAGCGTGGCAAACTGGAAAACAAAGAAATCTTTTAATTCGATGAGGCTAAATGGACTCTACAATTAGTGTAATACATACGTAAATAAATAGAATTTTTAAAATAGTAACTTACTCTTGTTTTCGCGGCAAATTTATTGCTAAACAGCGAATGCTTAGCTTTTTATGTAAGCATTACAGTGCTGTCAGCCTTAACATTGACCGTTAATGTTAATAGCATTTGCGTGGCAATGCCTTATTTAGCTTGACTGGAGCGGTTGCTGTTAAGTTGACACCATGTTGACTCTAAACTTCTCCATTTAAAAAACATTTGCTTAAAAATGATTTTTTCGTTTTTATTGGGACAAATCGCGTTAACAGTAATGTCCTAGTTAATCGGTACGAAAAGTGTACGAAAACTTTATTTACATAGCAGTGTAAACATGCCTTACAATTAGACTATAGTTTATTGGAGGAGACTCTGTATAAAATATATATTTATATATAAAACTGTTAACTCGTATAGCTCGTTAGCCGATGTTTTAAATGTGCTACATATCGCAATAATATGGTAAAGAATTGGGCATCAAATCGTAATAGCTACCATAAGTGTGTATATATATAAAAAACAATTGGCGACAGAAAACTAATTAGGTTGAGAAAAACAATGATATGCTTTCAGCGGAATTCACACACAAGCACACAGTACTTAGGCGAATATATATCTATATATGTGTGGGCATATAAATAAAAATAGTATGATATTGAAATAGCTAATGCAAATCTGCACACACATTGTCGAGCGTGTGTGTGTGCACTATATACATATGATATATTAAACTCCGATTAAATAAAATCAATTGGCCCGCTGCTATTCGATCCTGATGCGTGTTGTTGAACGTCGCAGTGTGAGGCATTCCTTGATGACCAAACGCATTAGCAATATCATGGCAATAATATCTGCCACGATCAGCATATAGAACACATTCTCCCAGCCATGGCTGGATATCAAGCCCGCCAACAGTGGCCCAACTGCCGCGCCAATGGAGCCCGTGCCGTCTATTATGGCCGTGACTGTGGCCAAAGCATTGGCATTGCCCTCCAACGAGCTATGCTGGCCCAGCTCAGCGCTCACCGAGGTGGTGATCAACGCATACGGCCCATTCACAAAGATGCCGACTATGATGAGCAGCAGCACGCTAATCGTGACCGACAATGCGCCATATTGTTGATATAACAGCAGCTGGAAGCGTGGAAGATTTATCAATACATATATATACATATATGAGTAGAGGGATCTAGAAATCTTACTATAGGCGAGGCAAAGAACAACATGACTGTGCACACTGTGGCGGACATGCCCGTGAGATCGGATAGATAGCCCGCGGCTATGGCGCCCAAAATGCCGCCCACATCGAAGAGCGTGGAGAGATCCGCCGATAGCTCCGGACCTAAGGTACCTAAATGAGTAAATATATATATGAATATATGGAATATATGTGACTAGAAAATATAATTTACTGGAAGACTGTATATAGAGCGGCAGCCAGTACATGAAGGTATAGCTAACCAGCTTGGTGAAGAACAGGCAGAGCGAGAACTCTACAACGCCCGGTATATGGAGTGCGTCCTTAAGGCTGATGGGACGACCATGTGCTACAGGACGATCCCTTGAGCTCTGTCCAGCCAGAATGGGCGTACGCTCAGTGACCGGTGAACGAAAGCTGACCTGATCCTGCGTGGATAATAACATTGTTAATGAGCGTATCAAAATAATACAATTAACATATATACACAGATTTATATATATATATATATATTCTACAGCAAATACATAAAGCAGTTGAGAAGCGGCACACGTACAAAACTAGCGATTGGAAAGGACATAGCACTCGATAGACATGCACTTACGGTTTGCGGTACGGCATAAAAGGACTGTGCATTAAACTGGCCGTGCGTCGAATTATATTAGATGAGCGAAATCATAAAATGCAATAGCTGAAATTGGAAGAGCACAAAAGCCAGGTATACTCACAGCTTCGCTGCGACGCGCTTGCTCCTCATCATCGTCGTTGTCCGCATCCGACTCGTTCGAGATGATGCGACGCTCCTGTGCGCTGTGCTGTGGATGACAGCCCACAATCTCTGGCTGATCGACCAGAAACAGAAACAATACAAAGCCAACAGCTCCAATTATGATGCCAGGCACCACAAAGGAGAGCGCCCAGTCGGTTTCCACATAGTGTGCGGCAATCAG